ATCTATCTATCTATCTATCTATCTATCTATCTATCTATCTATCTATCTATCTATCTATCTATCTATCTATCTATCTATCTATCTATCTATCTATCTATCTATCTATCTATCTATCTTCCTTCTTTCTATCTATCTTCTATCTCAGTGATGGCGAACCTTTTAGAGACCGAGTGCCCAAACTGCAAGCCAAAACCCACTTATGTATCACCAGGTGCCAGATGGGCGTGGCCCACTGGATGGGCGTGGCTGTGGTGGTCATGGCAGACTGGGTGGGTGTGGCCAAGGTGGGCGTGGTCACCTCACTGTTGCTCATGGGGAGGGACGCCTGTGGGGGCCGGGCAGGGTTGGGGGAGATCCAGGGGGTCTCTGGCAGGTGGGGCAGTGGGCAGGAGGCTCGTCCTGCAGGGCGAGGCGAGTTAGGGTGGGGGTGCCAATTGCCGCGGGGCAAGGCGAGGCAGGGGCCGGGGCGGCTGCTGCCTGACACCATCGGCCCCTGCACACAGAGGCCAGCTAGTGCATGGGGGCCGATGGTGCCCATCAGCAGCCACAACCTGCCGGCCCCTCGACCGGCACACTCTGGGGCTCCGCAGCCGCCTCTGAGCTGGATGGCCAGCCGACAGCTGAGGAGGAGATGCAGTGGGTCGTCCCTGGGAAAAGGAGAGCATGCGAGGCCAGGAGGGATGGGATGGGGAAAGAGGGAAACCAGCCGTGCCGGGATGCATCCGGCCACGTGGGACCTCAGCGAGTTAATGGGCAGCTTGCCATCTCCGGAGCATGGTGCGCGTGCCCACAGAGAGGGCTCTGAGTGCCGCCTCTGGCACGTGTGCCATAGGTTTGCCACCACTGTTCTGACTGTCTATCTGTCTGTCTGTCTGTCTAATCTATCTATCTATCTATCTATCTATCTATCTATCTATCTATCTATCTATCTATCTATCTATCTATCTATCTATCTATCTATCTATCTATCTATCTATCTATCTATCTACCTACTTACCTACCTACCTACCTACCTACCTACCATCTCTCTCTCTTTTCTATCCACAATATCTGTCTCTGTCTGTCTGTCTATCTGTCTATATTCTCTCTCTCAAGAGCCCTGGTGGCGCAGTGGGTAGAACGCAGTATTGCAGACTGACTCTGCCCACTGCCAGGAGTTCGATCCTGACCGACTCAAGGTGGATTCAGCCTTCCAGCTTTCTGAGAACGGTAAAATGAGGATCCAGATTGTTGGGGGCAAAACGCTGACATTTATAAAGTTTTATAGCCAATTTACCTTCCATCCGTAGTTCTTTGAAGAGCTCCTCCTCTGAGATTACAGAGACAGCAATCCTGGGAAAGCAACATGGAAATTACAATTAAAAAGGGAGAAAAATATCCCGCCAAAATATTTTGGGGAATTGTGGGGTGGGGTGGGGGGTAGGGAAAGGAAAGAAGAATTACATCCAGCACCCTGGTGTGAGGCACAAAGAATCAGGACCATATGTAAGGTTGCAGCATGGAAGATTTATTCAAGTCAATACATAAGAATCTGGTCAAATAAAATTCAAGAGTAAATTAGCCTCAGATTAGGGTCAACGGAATTCAGGAGGGGATGTACTTGGGAATGCTTGTGGGAATGTAAGGCCTCTAAAATGATAACCTGCTTAACGCCACCTCTCAGCTCTGCCTGCCCTTGTTCTGCACCTGAGTCCTGATAAAGCACTTTCCGGAAGCTTCTAAAACAAAAACAATTATCGCAGCATATTTAATAACAGAATAAAAGAGTTGGAAGGGACCTTGAGGGTCTTCTAGTCCAACCCCCTGCTCAAGCAGGAGACCCTACAGCATTCCAGACAAATGGTTGCCCAATCTCTTCTTCAAATCTCCACCCACAATTTCTGGTGGCAAGCTGTTCCACTGGTTAATTGTTCTCACTGTCCGGAAATTTCTCCTTAGTTCTAGGTTGGAACTTTCTTTGGTAAGTTCTTTGATTCCTAAAGAGTACTCAGAAACTTTGAACTTGGGTGTATGGAGAAGAGCAGAACGGAATAATACAGTTAGAAGGCACCTTTGAAAGTCTTCTAGTTCAGGGGTCTTCAAACTTGGCCCTTTTATGACTTGTGGACTTCAACTCCCAGAATTCCTCAGCCAGGCACACGTACCTGGCTGAGGAATTCTGAGAGTTGAAGTTCACAAGTCATAAAAGGGCCAGGTTTGAAGACCCCTGTTCTAGTCCAACCCTATTCCATTTCAGACAAATGGCTGTCCAATCTCTTCTTAAAAGTGTTGGAGCATTCACCGCTTCTGGAGGCAGGTTGTTCCACTGGTTAATTGTTCTGACTGTCAGGAAGTTTCTCCTTAGTTCCAGGTTGCTTCTCTCCTTGATGAGGTTCTATCCGTTGCTTCTTGTCCTCCCTTCAGGTGCCTTGGAGAATAAGTTGACCGCCCTCTTCTTTGTGGCAGCCCTTCAAATATTGGAACACTGCTATTATATCACCCTTAGTCCTTCTCTTCATTAAATGAAACATACCCAATTCCTGAAAACTGTTCTTTATAAGCTTTAGCCTCTGACAGTCCCCTAATCAACCTAGAACTAAGAAGACATTTCCTGACAGTGGGAACAATGAATCAGTGGAACGACTTGCTTCCAGAAGCGGTGAATGCTCCAACACTGGAAGTTTTAAAGAAGAGACTGGACAGC